GGATGTGGACGGCCGTTCTACGGCTTCGGCATTAAAAAGGACGTTTGTGGGAGCCTTGGTGTCCGATAGGCGGTCCCACCCCGTGCGTGCAGCTTAAATGTGGGTGGTGGGAAGTGGTTGGGTGGCAGCATGCGGGACCGGGGCGGACAACGAGAAGCCGCGTGCATGTCCATTCATTATCCGGTTTGGCACAAATCGACCCTAGATTTTCTCTAGATTTGGGTTGAGATGGACACAATGCGGACAAGATTTGGTCTTGCTCTCGCTCGTTGGGCCGTCCCATTTATCGTTTTGACCCAAACGGATTGAGACGGACGAAACGGGGTCGCCTGTTGAAGTTGGCCTAATAAGTACTCTCTTCATTCCAAAATATAATGCGTCCGCGCGTCCCGAGGTCCATCTTTGACCATGAATTTAACCAACGAGACCAACTGCGGCGAGAGAAAAAATTATATAATTGAAAACTTTATTCGAATACGAATTCACTGATATAATTTTTGCTCCCGCCGCAATCGGTCTTGATAGTTAAATTTACGGTCAAAGTTGAAGCACGTGGATAGAGGAAGCATTACATTGTGGAATGGAGGGAGTAGAATAGATAGATGCAATGAAATGCATCTTGTAAAAAAGCTTCTTTTGAAAAAAAATCAATCTATTCATAACATCATTGCAGTACAAAGAAGATAAGGGCATCTCCAAAGCGGACCCTCAAATCACCCGCATCCGCCCGCAACATGCTGTTCGGGCACAGTTTGCCATCCAACATAGTACCCATGGATCCACATAGCGGTTTAAACGTCTGTTTTTCGGCAAACTGAAACCAAACCAAGAAAACTTTGCAAGAGTCCGGATATCCTCGTATCCAATCAAATGCCACCACACACCTTTCTCTCTCCGTTCGGATGATGGAAGGCTGGCAATTAGCATTGGCGTTTGGTAAGCTACTAATTAGCATTGCATTTAACAAAAGGTTTGCCTATCAAAGCATGCATTTGACGGAAGGTTCACTAATTTGGTGCTGAAAGTATTTTTTTATTAGAACGAAGGCTCGAGAAAAATCCGGCTTTAAATTAATAAAGCCATCAACCGGCCAGGATTACATCGAACAAACAAAGGAAACAAAGAACAAAACAGCAAGCCGATACATGGTGCTGTATAAAAGCTATTAGGCTACTACAAACTACTAGCAAAAATATGGAAACTAAAATACAAGTCCAGCTAGAAGTCGAAGAAGCCCTCCACAGCGAGCAGAACACGATGCAGGACACCAGCAAAGCTTGGGGAAGAAACAAACATTAGTTGGAGGAGCTCCGTTGTCAGCTCCATAGGCTTTGGCAGTCGATGTCGCCCTCCTCCACCTCTGAAGGGGGCTCCCTGCCCCCTCGTGTAAGCAAACTTAATCATCCAATTGTTTCGCGTAAGCAAACTTTAATCCATGCATGCAAGTATTTGACCTTTGGCGGAAGCTACTCAATAATTACACATGTTTTGGCGAAAGCCTTTCTTCGTGCTTGGTGGAGCCTACTAATCCATGGATTGGTACCATAGCGAGTCATACATATTTCGCGGAAGATATTAATAGCGGCGGACATTTTCGGCAACGATTACATGGCTGACTTCCGCATCAATGTCCAGGGACACCACCTCGGTCCGTGGATGGATGCTATCTGGTTTGCAGGTTAGTGTTGGAGTTGCCCTGAAAAGCAATAAAGATCACATCCTTGTTTGTAGACCATCTAGCGATGATTACACACACTGGGCGAGCCAAAGTCATGCTGCCGCCATCACTCCTTTCTCACCAGAACAGGGCAAACCTTATTGTAGTAGACAGTCGGAAAATTGTCATGCTCGGGCCCCAAGGAACCAGCAAACCAAAACAACAACCGTCGCCGATGAAGAAAAGTGTAGAACGAAAGGACCCAACTTGTAACACGCGAACACAAACGAACAAAAACCCGATCCAAGCAGTTCTACCGAAGAGAAACATCGAGTGAATCCCGCGAGATTCGTCAGAGACACACCTCCTCACGCCCTCCGGCGACGCTTGACGCATTGCCGGGACGGAGGATAGGCATGAAGAATCTTATTCCATCTTCAGGGAGCAACCGCCGCCTCGTCTTGCTAAGCAGGACACAAACTCTAAATTAACTAAATAAACACCTAATAACAAAGCCGGAGCTCTCACACCGGCAAGAGCCGGGATCCACCACGTCTTCATGGCCCTAAGGACACATGATA